ACAGCATGCAGCTTCAGCTGTTTTATTAGCAAAGCTAGCAATAAAAATGTAGTACTTTCAGGTCCGTTTAACACAATAATTTTTCCTTTAAAATCAGTGCAGAAAATGTGGAAAAACACCTATCACTAATTTTTTCTTTCACCTAGAATTGAGCAATGAAATTAAAACATTCAATGTTTTTATGGAATGCTGAATCTGGACACATGACCCTGAAGCCAAAATTTTATTGGTCAGTGAATTTTCTTGCAGGATGAACAAAAAAATCAAGCTAGACAGTAGGGAAAAACTTAATTTTCTACACGCATTCATGGGAATTAACTTCTTTTTACAGCTTGAAGCCTCCTTAGGTGTGAAATGTCCATATTTTCTTCCCCTTGTGTGTTTAAAATAATTTTTTGGCTCATTTGATTATAATCTCAGCTAACTATACAAGTGTAATACTCTCAGGTCCGATTAACACATGGGTGTCTTAAATCCCTCCCATTTAGATTTTGTCCCACCAAAATCAGTGCAGAAAATGACGCTAAATCTTATTGGTCAGTAAGGCATTTTCTTGCAGGGTGAACACAAAAATCAAGCTAGACCGTATGGAAAAATGACATCACGAGTTAGAATGGGTTTCCTTTACCAGCTTGTCACAGCAAAAATGAATAGACCGAGTGGTCAAAACCTTGCTGACTGGACTTGACTCACTTTGGTCAAAATTATTCTGATATAATTCAGTCCTGAAAAGATTTAGTTTATTTCTTTACTTGCATTGTGTGTGCTCTACAGGGCCGTATTACTGTGACGGGACAGTTGGACAGAGAACAGGGGGATTCATACACTCTCACTGTTGTGGCCGATGATGGAGGACCCAAGAGAGACTCCACTGTGGTAATGATCTGTTCATTCTGGTAGTCAAGCTCACTAAAGCCTTCAGCACACTGTAGAGAAGCACACACATTTCTTCTTATCCTGAATTGTGCACAATATGGCCATGTTTGTTAAAGTAAATTTGAAATGCATGTCTGTAAACAGGATTGTATCTAGAAGCTTGAGTGATAGTGATGTTAAAATGCATATGATAATATGATGTTCATGTACTTGTACTATATAAACATCTAATTAAACCTGTTCTATTCTCTTTTTTTCCTGATTTCTTTCTTGATACACATTTGAAGAAGGTAAATGGGTGATTTTTTTTTTTTGTCCTCGAATCATTTTTAATGCAACAAATGTTAATTTTCTGTCAGAAACAACATCTCAGGTTCCATTGCTTTGTACTTTTGAAAGGTTTCAATCACCATTCTCGACGAGAATGACAACAGCCCAGAGTTTGACATCACTTCGGATTTGTCGGTGGCTATTCCGGAGGACACTCCCATTGGCCAGAGGGTTGCGGTCGTGCTGGCACGGGACAAAGACGCTGGAAGAAATGGATTGGTGAGTAGGACATACTCAGAACACTGTGAAATGAGCTGTCAATCATTCCTAACCCCGCCTCCATCACACTCCTTTAGGTCAATTTCACCTTGATCGCGGGGAACATGCAGGACGTGTTTAAGATCAACACAGCCAATAACACGTATGGAGAGGTTTACTTGAATGCCCGTCTGGACCGTGAAGCCGTGGACCGCTACCTGCTAAAAGTGAGAGAGACATTATGGACACATGCTTTGGCTCTCTACCGAACTGGAGTGACTTCCTAGACCTCGCTTTATATCATACACATGCTCCCTACACTATAGAGGTTTCAAAAAGCATCTGATATTAGAAATATAGACTACCATTCAAACGTTTCAATAGGAGTCAGTAGGATTTTCTTTAAAGAAATGAATACTTTTATTCAGCAAGGATGCATTGCCATTAAATTGATCAAAAATGACAGTAAAGACATTTATTTTCTGCTTCAAATGATTTCTATTTCAAATGAATGCTGTTGTTTTGATCTTTCTATTCATCCAAATAATCCTGAAAAAAAGCATCAGTTTGTACAAAAAAATATTAAGCAGCGGCTTAGTAAATAAATAAATGAAAATAAATAATAAATGTTTCTTGAGCAGCAAATCAGCATATTATGGCGCTTTTCCACTACACAGTACCAGCTCGGCTCGGCTCGACTCGACTCGCCTTTGTTTGGTTTTCCACTGTGTAAAAGTTGTACCTGTACCTGCTTTCGGGTACTTTTTTTCGTACCACCTCCGGCGAGGTTCCAAGCGAGCTGAGGCGAGCTAAGCCGATACTAAAATGTGACGTGAAAACAATGCCGACTGCTGATTGGTCACAGAGAATCTGCGTCATCATTGCACGCGCCAGATGGAGTATTTTAAATAGTTTGGCCAGAGATAGTTACTAAACTTACTACTATTATTATGGCAACTCGGAAGAATACGCCGTGGTCAAACGAGGAGGTGCAGACATTCCTTTGTTTGGTTGCCGAAGAGAGGATCCAGCGAGAGCTTGATGGGGCAACGAGGAACGAAATGCGTCGCTATGACGACCGGGTACTATTTGTGGCGGTACTTTCTGCAATGGAAAACGGAGCGAAAAGCGAGCCGAGTCGAGGCGAGCCAAGGCGAGTCGAGTCGAGTCGAGCTGGTACTGGTAATGGAAAAGCGCCAGTAGAATGATTTCTGAAGGATCATGTGACACTGAAGACTGACATAATAATGCTGATCATTCATATTTGCCTTAACAATGCAATAAAATTACATTTAAAGTATATACATATAAAAAATAGGACACAATTATTTTACATTTGAATAATATTTCACAATATTACAGTTTCTTCTGTATTTTTATCAAATAAACAAAAAAGCCTTGGTGAGCATAAGAGACATCTTTCAATAAGTCACATCTGCTGAATACCGAGTAATAACTCCTTCAGACGAGCCGTACGTGGTCAGAGTGTTGCGTGACTTTTCACATGTTTCCTTGTACAGTTAAATATAGTATGTTTTGCATAATGCGTTCTGTGGGATATGTGTGTCTGTTTGCTGACGTTCACATGGATACCTGTGTGTGTTTGTGTGTTTGGATCAGGTGCGGGCGACGGATAATGGCTCCCCTCCGAGGTTCACAGATGTGTCGCTCACTGTGAATATTATGGATGTAAACGATAACCCTCCAGTGATGCAGAGCCCTCGTGGATACAACGTCAGCGTCAATGAGGTCAGTGAAGTCACAGCACCTCAAACCAGTGATGCCATCAGCACCTCAGAGGATTCTGGGTGTTAATTATTCAAATGTTTGCAATGCATGAAAGATGGCAAAAGAAAGAAACGTAATCACTCTGTCAGTGTAATCTATTTTGTTTATATATGAATATATATATATATATATAATCTAAATATATATATATATATATATATATATAAACCAACATATATATGTGTGTGTTGTTTTAGAATGTGGGGGGTGGTACAGCGGTCCTGCGTGTCGTAGCGACGGATCGTGACATCGGACCCAACGCCATGCTGTCGTACTACATCACCGGTGGGAACCAGGACCTGACCTTCAGAATAGACCGTATGACGGGAGAGATAGTGACCCGACCGTCACCTCCTGACAGAGAAAAACAGCAGCAGTACACACTCACTGTGACTGTGGAAGATGATGGCACGCCACCTTTATCAGTAAGTGTGTGTGTGTGTGTGTGTGTGTGTGTGTGTGTGTGTGTGTGTGTGTGTGTGTGTGTGTGTGTGTGTGTGTGTGTGTGTGTGTGTGTGTGTGTGTGTGTGTGCGTTAGCTGCCTGTTTTTCTTTGTAATCTTTCATCAAAATAATCTTCATCTCTAAATTGCTCTTCTTTTTTCCTGACATTACCAAGGCCACATGGGTGGGGAAAAATAGTATTATAACCTACATTTTATGATCCAGACAGATCCCAATGTATTAACCCCACCCTTACAATAGGACATCAGAAGTTGCTGCAACTTCTTGTAAACAGATTTTGACAGTTTTTTTTCCTTTGTCTTGTCTTTTTTCTTTCTTTCTAAACATAAGATACTACGCTTGCTTTTTTAAAAGCCAGTCTGAACAACCAAACAGCAAAAACAGGAAACCACAACCTGCCTTATTTTTGAAACAGGAAGTTGCACTCTTAAGAGCTCGTTGATTCCTGTTGTGAACCTCATATCGGTCTGGGTTTCAGCAAGTGTGACTTTTGGTCCTCTGGTGTCTGGATCAACTTTGTAAAAAGCAGCAGATTGAAACTAATTTTTAGGGATATGTTGTCTTTCAGATGATTCCAATTAAACAGAGAAATGATACTCTTATTTGAACAGATTCATCTTAGCTAAACTTTTAAATTTTTTTAGTAGAGGTCGGGTAAGTTTCCCACAATGGTTTCGAGGTCTTGCCACCCGTCAGTAGACCGTCTGCTGTCTCGGGCAGTTCCATGTGATTAAAGAGATTATTTATAGCATAAACACAGCACAAGGACTCACAGCTCTCACCAGAATGTTTTATTTATTTGTATTTTTAAAAAAGAAATATAAGCAAATGGAAACAGCAGTTGTGTCACAGCATCATCAAGAGCTACATATACGGTGTACAGGCACATGTGCAACTTCAAATATACAAACTGGTAAAGTGGCGTATTTATCAGCATATTTACAATGTGGATTTGCGATCATTCACCAACAAATCTTTCATTCATACACAAAGCAAGGTTTTGGCACTCTGTTTGGCAGTGGATTTAAACTTTTATGCTTCCTGAAAATGCTTACCAGCTCTTTGCTTTGCTTTTTTTTTCATTTATGGAAAAAGAACACACACACACACACATCAGATAAAAATTCAATACAAAAGATAGAAAACCTTATTTTGAGCCCTCAGACCCTTAAAGCCACAGGTGACGTAGGAGATGTATAAGATAGTGGCATTGTGTTTAACTGGCACCGATGCAACATTTACCACAAAAAACTGCACTCATTCTGACAGAATGCATCATACAAGCTACATATGTCATAAAAGCACCACACTCACCATTAAAGGGTTTTAAAAAGCCCATGGTCTGACGGTGAGTGTACTGAGAACATCCGTTTTCCACCGACACGATGCCAGTGCTGGTCCCAATCTGGGTCCGTTATATAAAGTTTCTAAAGTGAAATGAGTTTTAAAACTTTGAAACAAACAGTCATGTGCATCGTCATTCGGCTCTCAAGTAAATGGGAAAACCGGCCATTTCTAAGATCTGCAGATTCCCCGGCTGAGCACCAAATCTGGGACCAGCACCGGCGCCATTTCAGGGGTAAACCGAGTACTTTGGCACTGAGTATTGAGCAAGTAGGTCTTGAGAAAGTACTAGGATGGGTAAACAGGAGTGGATGAGGTTTTAATACATCCCTGACCTCTAAAAGAGAGCGGATGAACAGAATGATTAAGTGGAAACATGAGACGAGAATAGGAATAGACAGATTAGAGAAAAGAGAAAGAAAATAGTCATTTAAGTGCAAATGAAGCCTCAGTGTGACTGACACACGAAGCACGGGACGAACAAAAAAGTGTGCAAACAGCTTAGCTGAAATCTATTTTTCAACTCAAATGGCACTCGAGGACATCTTTGGATCCTCTTCATAAAAATTCCCTGTGACCGTGCTCTCCCTAGTGCCCTAACTTGTGAAATTTTCTTCTCTGGAAACCCGTTCAAGGACAGTCAGCAGACAGACACAGACGTCATCAGATAAGGGGTCCCACCGTAATAGCGAAGAGCTGAGTTCAGCTACCATTTTTTGGGGGACCTTATCATCCTTGCAGAAGACCGGAAGAAAAGAGGCATGATGATGTGGAAGAGAAGGAAGAAGCACTAGGTGTTTCTGTGAACATGACGCCTTTTAATCCAGTAAATTGGGAGACTCAGGGATGGGATCTGGAAAAGATAAAGTAAAATGATTAGAGGGGGAGCCATAAACTCTGCTTATAATGTTAGGCAAGGTGTCTAGCACCGCCAGAATTTACGTTTAGTCTGTTTTTGCTGCTCTACCTTTAAGACTTCTATATAAATATAAGTTACATATGAAATGAGTGATGTCTCCAGGCTGTGTGGACAATCCATATGTAAATGCGTCAATTTTGCAGCTTCATGTTAATGAATGGTCTGTGTGGGAGCTTTGCATTAATCAGTTCAGCACGAGTCGGATTCAGAAAACGTGGATGATCAAGCCAATCAATAGGAACCAACTTTGAAAGCAGGATTTCAGCAGAACATTTTACAGTCGTACGTAGTCTTTATATAAAGCTGTCTTCTGTAAAATGCACTGTGCACGAGCAAACTTTTGGGAACAGCTTTCTAAATAAGTCGTACGCTCTGATTTCTTATTTCAGAAGGCCAAACAAAGCGAATTTGCTTTCGTATCCAAACACACAGCGTCTCCACGACATGATGATAACAATACAATTCACTGACGCCTCATCTTTTTTCTTTGCAAATGCCTTTGCTAATATTTCACATTGTGACGTAGACGTTTGAGGAAGTATTATCTGGATTTGGATCGAGGCGTTCTAGGCAGGTCTGTTAGAATAAATCCCTTTGTGGGAGACTATGAGCTTTGTAACTTTGCAGATCGTATACATGCTAAAATAGCCAATTTACACACTAAAGGAAAACATTAAAAAGCATCATATGACCCCTTTAATATACATTTTTGGTCTTATCATGCATATTATGCTAAATATTGTGCGTGTTTGAAAAAATCGCAAATGTTTTTGAAATTTTTCATCAAAATAGAATATCTTGCTCGAATACGTCAAGGATAAAATTAGGTCCCACCGTATATCTTTATCACTGAAAATCCTGTTTTCACTTTGAGTCACATTAAGGAAGTAAAATGGGTTGTAAACTTGTTTAACATTGACATTAACGTTTCTGTGTGGGAATACAGAACCGTCTGTATGTGCCAGTAGGTCATGTATAATGAAAAAAAAAACACACATGAAAGTAGACACGTATGCACACACACGTTCTCAGTTTCTCAGAACCCGGCTTGCCATCAGAGAAGGAGAAATGAGTGTTGAGAAATGAGGGAGAAAAGGGGAAATTGACATTCTGTAAATTCCGCTGAGTTAAAGGTTAAATGAGAGGAGGCGTGTGTCTGTGTGTGGATAGTGAGCTGGACTTCGTAACGTTTGCCTACACACACGAGACTCTAGTTGTGTTTTGTCTGGTCGTGTGCAGATTTGCATGCGTGTTCATTTTTCATTGAAACGTGTGGGTACAGGTGTGCCTACCAAGAAGATGAACAATTTCTGTTTGTGTGGTGTGTGCACATTTGTTTAAGATTGGGTAGGTTTAAGCACCATCGTTATGTGTGTGTCTGTGCGTGTAGTGATTCTCCACTTGTTTCTTGTCTCCTGCGTGACAAGCTTTTGGAATTGGATTACAGTTTCATGTTTGTGTCTTTGTGTCGTACCCTGTGCTGGGAAGAAAAATTCCCCTTGGATGTTTGGGGAGAGTGGAGTTCCAGGATCCGACAGGAGGTGGCGTCCTGTTTCAGATGACTGCCTCATGATTTGAGATACCGTGCGGGGTTTAGGTTGTGGAGAATCGCCCAAAAACACTGGGTTCTCATGCGCCTGTGCTTCACTAGAGAGAGATAGACAGAGGTTTAATGAAAATATTTGTATTTATTTAAATCTCATGGGACCTGCCAAGAACATGTCCGAAACATGTTTCATCACAAAAAATATGAACTAATAAGAAATCATATTTTGCATATTAATATATAAAAAATATATAGAATATATATTTTCCTGACAGTTAGGCATATTTCCCCCAAAATTGTCATTACAAAATTATTTCATGTAAAAAATAATCACTCGTAATAGTAAATTACACTTGTAGCATTTGCTGTACTGCCTTTATGCTTATTTATAGAGTTGTTTTACTTTATAATTCAAAGATTCAGTAATGAGAATCACCATTGAGAATAATACGAATTGTACACATAAATACATTTTAAGCATTTCTGTAATAGGTTTATTATTAAAATTATTATTACTACTTTATTATCAAAAAAATTGTGTTGCAACAGAAAGATAATCTTATATTGAAATGCAATTTGGACATGGTTTTGCAAAATTTAGCTAAATATCCCTTGTTGAGTTGTTTGGTCACTGTGGAAACTCACCTGTCCATACGCACCAGCTCATGTGAACCTGGGAAAAACAGGAACAGGAAATGGTTCATAGCGAGAAAGGAAATGCAGTCTCTTTAAAACAATTAGTGCTGCTACTGTACTGCCATCAGCAGAATGTGCAGCGCTCTCTCACACACACAATATAGGTCAGAGTAAGTGTGTGAGCTAAACATGACTAAGTCTACGTGCGTGTGTGTGTGTACTCACGTCTGTGTCGCTCTACTGTTTGTCTCTGTCTGTAAACTAGCATCAGTATGAGCGGGAGGCACAGAATGAAAGCTACACAGGCTGCGATAGCCAGACCTTCAGCCACTGAGTCTGAAAAAGAGAGACGGAGAAAGACGTTATTGGTGGAAAAAAGAGAAAAGAAATCTGTTGTGAATCAGCCCAAAAAGTACTTGAGACACTTAAAGCCACACTTAAAAATGAGTGAATGCCATAGATGCCAGTTTGCAAATGTGACCCTGGACCACAAAACCAGTCACATGGGTCACAATTTTTGAAATTGTGAATTTTGAAAGCTGAATAAATAAGCTTTCCATTGATGTATGGTTTGTTAGGATAGGACAATATTTGGCCGGGATACGACTATTTGAACATCTGGAATCTGAGGGTGCCAAAAAATCGAAACATTGAGAAAATTCCCTCTAAAGTTGTCCATTTACGTTACGTTTATATATTTACAGAAATACAAAATATCTTCATGGAACATGATCTTTACTTAATATCCTAATGATTTTTGGCATAAAAGAAAAATTGATCATCTTCACCCATACAATGTATTGTTGGCTATTGCCACAAATATACCCGTGCGACTTATGACTGGTTTTGTGGTCTAGGGTCACATATTATATAACAAGATAGCACAAGCACATCTTTCAGCCAGAACATTTCGCAAAGAAAAATGGGGGTGTACATTTTGTACACCATGTTGCAGCACAAAAACTTGCATCTCATTCCCTAACCACTCACAGTCTAGTTTTCCTCGGCAGTAGGCACTGAAATAGACTTTAAAGTCAATGTCTTTTCTTTTTTTTTACACAGACATTTGTAAAATTATACATGTGTCTTGTTCTCAAAACTATACTTGTGAACTTCAGTGGAACTTTCATTGAGCAAAAATAGAAGCTAGTTCTGAGAAAATCTGTTGCATCAGGTGTTTGCAGATGCCATCTTGGTTTGATTGACATTTTTAAGTGTGACTTATGTGTCCTACTACTTTTTAGAGCCTCTGTGTTGTTTTTGTGTTGTTGAACGTACCATCTGAAGGAATGTGAGACCACTCCAAACACTTCAGACTGCCGTTGCGAGTATTTCCATTTGCTGTGGAAACATGTGACATTAAGATCACACAAGAATGAAGGGGATACATGAATGTCCCACCTGACCTCTCTCCTGGCTCACTTACTTGGCACCACAGTCAGGTAGATGGACTCGTGGGCCTCCTGCTCGACCTTGTGCTTGCCATGAAAGTCCAAAAGCAGGCAGCAGTATTTGCCCTGGTCCTTGTGCTTGACGGTCTGCAAGAAGATGGAGAAGGACTTCTCACCGCTGATGTAACTCACTCCCGCAGAGCGGTTGGTGTGACCGGACCCGCGCGGGTGAATGCCCTTGTGGCAGCGCTCCTTTGAGTGAGGCGTGAAGAGCCAGGTGTTCCACAACTTGTCCTCCGAGGCAGCCTTGGATCCGGACTGAATGCATGTCAGGGTGACATTGGCCCCTTCAGGACACTCGTAGGTCCGATGGGGCACAGAAACACTTAGAGAGGGGTGCTCACCGCTCGCTGGAGAGACAAGAAAGAGAAAATGGGGATTTTTTAAAATTTAAATAAAACAATTACATTTAATATCAAACATGTGCAAAGTTTTGTATATGTATCCTATATTAGTAGACTGTAATTGTAAAACTTTTGTAAGTTAATTCCCCCAAACAATGGAAATACATGCAAACACATACAATTCTGAATTAAAAAAATGCCAACCTATTTATTTATTTATTAGATTTATTAGATATACTGCAATATCTGTATTTGACATCTTGGATTTCTTGAGCTCAACTGGTTATTTCCTTTTAGAGTGTGTGCCGGCTGACCACTTGTGCATTTCTATCAAAGTTTGTTTACTACAGTGGTGACTTTGTGGCAAGGCTTTAGCATTAGTCTTTTACTTAAAAATGTTTAATCAGTGTCCAATTTTAAGCCACACGTTTAAACGTTTATGAGTGTCACTGGAAGACATTTGTTAGATATTATTATATTATATATATATATATATATATATATGATATATTATTTATCTTATTTTTATAATTTGAAATCAACCAATCATTTGTTGTAAAAATGCTTGATTTTATTTTATATACAAATTTATAATCCATTATTTTTTTTATTTTTTTTTATTTTAATTCGACAACAAATGATTTGCTTGGAAACTGTGCCTTTCAAAAAGTCTAAATTTTGTTCCTCCAGACACATTAATACATTTAAATGTTGCTTATGTATAGTAAAAGTACTACAACACTATTTTATAAAAAAAGAAAAACAAGCTTTGTGAAACCTAGAAATGCTCCGTGGAAGAAATGCATTTCCACCACATTAGTGAACAAACAACAGGTGTCATTTTAGACTGCTATTGTTTCTTCTATCCATGACTATGATGTTCTCTGCTCAAGTTTTATTGTGTGTGTGTGTGTTGTAGAATAAAAGGGTTGCACACTGAGTGCATTGTTTCCTATCCTGTAATAGACCAAACAGACCTACATCCTAATTACACACACAAACCCTATGAACCAGAGCTGAATGTTTATCGACAAGGCAAAGGAAATGGGGAAAAATACAGATTGCTCATGAATGGACAAATATTTCCTTTATTTATGCGACTGTCCCAGATATTGACTGCTTGAATGCATGGCTGCCCGTCATTATGTGCCGCCCTCTACTATCAATGCATGTGTAGTTGACCTTAATGTGCAGTCTGTGCAAATGCTTCTTTATGCCCTGAGTGTCTTAAATGTACATGGCTATGAGTGTGTGTGTGAATGAGTGTCAGGAAAAGCAATAGGAAACGGCTTCTGTGTGATAAAGTGCAGCTCAGGGCGGTGTGTCCGTTCCTGTCTCTCTCAGACACAATACAGTTCAACCCCCTCCTGCCCTACTATTCCCTATAAACCTCATCCGTCCTCATATTCCCAATCAGCGCTCGTAATTATCCGGTTCAGGGCTTCATTTCCCACCCCGTGAGATCCTGTGTTGGGAATCCGCTCTGGCAGCTGCCAGCGGTTCCACACGTCTTTGTTGTGACTGGATGAAATACTTCTCTGCACTCTGTACATAAACGTGCCGTCTCTGAGTCCTGGGTCGTGGTTGGATCAAAGGCGTGTTAGAGAGTCTTTTGGAGGCCGAGCCAATCTAAACTGTTGCTTTAAAAGCACAAAAAAGCCATTAATCCTTTCAAGAAGGGTTCAACAAGGGTCCTAACCCTAACAACTTAAGCAATAATGATTGGAAATTGTCACTGACCATAACTTGAATTGAGCCCAGAACTCAGACACATCTGCCAGAGACAGAGAACTAATAATGAAATGTTGCTTGCCTGAGGACATCTGTCTGCAAATGTGTTTATCTGTGCTGATCTGTGACGTCAACACAAAAGCATCTGTGCCTCTGAATTTACATGGACGTCAGCGTCCATCCTGCTCCTTGTTACTGATATATGAAGAGTGATCACATTTACATGCCGCTAACATGCACCACCATCCATAATCTGCTTCATTTTATAGAGAAAGAGTGTCTATGATTGGTTACTTAAAGATTGAAACCTCTTTAAAGAGAGATTTAGCTTGTTTTTATTACAAATAAATGCTTATTTATACTGCCAAGATCCTAAATGACACCAAAAAGTTATAAAAACACAATTAAAATGTAGTCAACGTTTTATATAATAGATCATTCACTTATCATAACTTCTCTTAAAACAGTCAGTCACATAATGAGTGAGATGCATCAAACCAAGTTTGACAATGTTCTCAAGACACTTTTGGAATTGAACACAAATGCAAATGAAATTTGAGAGCTTTGATGAAGGGGAAGATTATCAGTAAATTTTGGACTTTTTCCTCACACAAAACTATCATATGACTTTGGAAATCCTAGAATATTGTGGACTTTATGCTGCTTTTTGTTTTTGAAGCTTGGCATTATGTGTGTATTATATGGAAAAGAGCAGCTCAGGCATTCTGCCTTCATATCTCATTTTGTCTTTCGTGGTAGACAATTTTTGTGTTTTTGTGAATGGCCCTTAAATAAACGCAGAGCCCCTTTACAGCCCCCACCTACATGTGTTGGTCTCATTTCTTGCTATTGCTGTTTATGTAAGAGCCTCATTACAAGGTGTTAATGAAAGCCATGGGGGTCTAAGAACCCCCCTCCCATCTGCAGAGAGCATGACTGTGAGGGACTTTCCCATTTCACCTGAAACCTCCTGCAGATCAGAATCTGCCCACCATTACAGAAACTCCTCAGCTTCATGCATTAAAACATTGGTTTGGCGTATTGGACTATTTCCAGAAGCACAATAAATGATATTTTGTGGAATTATTATTAAAGTAACGATCTTTTTGAAATCATGGGGGCAGGTTGGAAAAATGCACCATTGCTATGGTCTGACTACGTCTTAAGAGTCAAGAACAATAAACAATAGGGATGTTTCCTTTAGCAAGCACCACTAATGCTCATCAATGCATCATTCTTCCTCCCTTGCGTTATTTTTCTCTTAGTTCTCAGTTGATCATTTTGTCCCCTTCATATTCTTACTGAGAAGCAGTGTGGATGTAGCCTCTCATTGGGACTTACAAACCCAGGGGGTCAGGAATGTAATCCCAGTGCAGTATCCACAGTCTCCCTGTCTCATTCCTTTTGGGATCTTTTCAGTCTGTCTCCCTGTCTCTCTATATGCTGATTTCTTCAGGCCTGGTTAAGATGAAACCATCAGGCTTTTTTGAGAAGGATCACACCTCCTCACTGTGATAAGGGTGTAGGGATGATTGGGCATTGAATCGAGACCCCCTGGTATGGAAATCTGACCTGACGGATACTTAATAATAGCTTCCCCCCTGGGAACAAGCCTCATACCCTGCCACTTCCTACATCTAGACCTCACACTGTTTACCTTTAGACCAACCACTCTAAAATTGGCAAAAATCAATATTAGCTAAATGATGAACCAGCCATAGTCTATGGATTATTGAATTCATCTGCAAACTCAAGCTGAGGTAATCAGTTGAAAAGAAAAATACGAATAGACTCTTATAGCCTATAAAAATCATACATAATGTGTGATGTGGTTCCATCAGAACTGATGACATTTTATAATGATTATATTGTATTTACACCATAACTAAAAGATTTTTTTTCTACACTTTCTAAACTAAACTTTCTAAAATAAATCAAAACCAACTTTAGCTGGAAATAACACTAACACAACAATTCAAAATAACACTGGAAATAACACTAACACAACAATTCAAAAATCGCTATAAAGCCAAAACAATCTCTGTTACCGTAAATTGTATGTTTGTCTCTGTAAAGCTGCTTTGAAACAATCTCCATTGTTAAAAGCGCTATATAAATGAAGATGACTTGACTTGACTTAAACTAAAATCATTGTAAAATGTTTGTTCTGTTCAGCGTGGTTATCATACAATAATGTCTAAATGCATTTAATAGGCGATAAAAACGCTGGTTGCTAAATGATGACCAAACTAGCTCATGAATATTACGCAGCCTATTATTGACTGCCCTTTAAACTAAATTAATACTTACAAGCCAAGTCTTCACCATTGTAGGATTCGCTATAACGTTACGTCTAACGCCCACTACCTAACGTTAGAGCCTACGGTTTAGCCAATCAGATAATTTTGTTAGATAAACCTCAAATGAAAGTAATATTCATGAAACAAGCAGTCACTGCAACAGTAGGCTAATAATTCGCTTGTTGTCGACGCACGAGAGAGCGTCAGCGACTGAATACACCAAAAGCTTTCTTTTCGGTAAGATTCCATCTATTTACGTACATAACCAAAATGATACGGCTCCAAACCACAATAGAAAATTAAAGGGAGCAACTGAAGTAAATGTCAGTAAGTTGCGTGTTGCAAAGCCTACGTAGGAAAGTACACAATCGATCACAAATATATGACAGATGATGACAGGCTTTTTGTAGAAGGTAAACGTTGAATTCGGGTCAAAAATGAGAGAAAGAACTTGGGGTTTTTTTGTTTTGTTTTTTAAACAAGTTGACACACGCCCGATCAGACGTTTTACAAGTAAACAAATGTCAGAACCGTGGCAGATGCAGCACGCGCTTGGAACGCAACGCGATTGAAAGAGGTCTCGAGACGCGTTTTAAAACTTGAACCACGATGTTAAAACCCTAATAAAACAAAACAAAAAAACTCCAAAACCCGCATGAACAGCGAAATACGTCAATTTGACGCACATACAAACAGAAAAGCTTTTTCAAATAAAAACGCAGTCCAGAAATATAGTAGATTTACCTTGAACTGCAGTTAGAAAATGAACGCAGAGCAAGAGAGCCCAAAATACATCCATCAGTCCTGTCTTCAATTTATGTCCAAAGTCCTTTACAATTTTTCCCGCCGTGATGACAGAAAACTTGTATAGTCTTTCTCTTATTCCCGTGTGTTGTGAACTCAGCTGATCTGCAGGCTCTCACAGTAAGTTATTTATCAGAAGTGAACCATACAAACAAGAATCTGTTCTTCACTCTGCTGTCTCCCTCCCTCCAAATCACTCCTCCCACTAGACTACATACAAGTTATACTACACTTTTAAATGCATTGAATTATAGTAGCTAATTAAACCAATTATGTAGTAATATAATTAATTATTATTTAAAATATAATTATCATTTAATTGAAATATTATAGTAGTATATTTCTGGAAGTTTATTCTGCAGTAATAGTTTAAGTTGCCAAGTCATTTTTAAGCCTATTAAAACAATCATTTCAATGATAGTAAATTGGTTTTATACAGACTTTGAATGACTCTGGATTTTTAGATCATATTCAGAATCTGTCATAGCTGACCAGGTTTCGGCTTCCGCACTTGAGAGAACTACTTGAGTGAATTTTGTGGGGAGACATGGTATCAGTTTTGATGCCTATTGATGGCATACATGCACACATCAGTAACCTGCACACACCATCAGGTTATGCAAATGAAATTCATACTTGCTACACCAGTTCACTATGATACCATGAGATAAGGGTGACTCCACACTGGTGGTCTGTTCCGAAGAAAACATGCAAATACTTTCATCAAAGAGCATAAACATTGCCCTGCTATCTAGACATAGATTCTGAATTTTTGAGACACTGGTCAGTGTTGTATACTGAGTTGTTGTGTGTTTATTGAGTATTTTTTAGACCTGTAAAGCACTTTGGTCAACTTGTGTTTTTTTTTTTTTTTTTTTTAGCTAAATGGTATATAACACACACTTGTATTTAAAATAGGATCACCCTTTATTTTAAGGTGTCCTTGTTACAGTGCAAGTACTGAGTGATATTAATTAACAACATGCACTTACTATATAATTAGGGTTGGGGTTTGGTTTAGAGTTAGTTGCATGAAATAATGCATAATTCCCTGTTATTACTAGAGTAAGTACATGTAACATATGTAACAAGGACACTGTATATATATATGTTACATTTGTCCTGTTGGATTGCTCTTTTTATTACTGTAAAATGTTCCAAGTGTTTAATTCACGTGTCATCCGTCTCCACAGACGTCCACCACCGTGTGGGTGCGTATAATTGATGAAAATGACAACGCACCTGAGTTTCCGGAGGAAGAGTATGTGACGGAGCTCAGAGAGGGGCCAAACACTGTAGGAGCCATCATCGCCACAGTTACAGCCATCGACCCTGACGAAGGTCTCAACGGAACCATCCGTTATGCCGTCTCCAGGGGCAACCTGGCCCAGACGTTCCAGATCAATAGCATAACGGTGAGTGACAGACAGGAAACAAGGACTGGTTTAGATACTCTGATGTGTTTGCGCTGTTTGTATTTTTTCATTCTTAGAAATTCTTAGAAAACCTTGAAAATGTCAGGGAATTTTTATAACTTTATTTTAAAAAAGTTACTGTTTGAAATGCAAGAAATATATATATATTTATTTTTTACCTCAGGTCCACCTAACCCAATCTTAATGGTCTGAATAGAAAGTTCAAAAGAACAGCATTTATTTTAAATAGAAATATTTTATAACATTATAAATGTCTGTCATTTTTGATTAATTTAATGCATCCTTGCTAAATAAAAACATTTTAAAACAAAAAAAAGTTGATATGTCACAAAATGACACTTGTTTTCTGAGAATGATCCTCTGTTAATTGTGTGTTTGTGTGTGTTCACAGGGTCAGATTGTTGTCTTTAAGGAACTGGATTATGAGATCAGTAACGGTCACTATGTGCTGACGGTCACAGCCACAGACCAGTGTCCTATACCTCAGTTTAGACTGACCTCTAGCACCACAGTGAGTTCACGTCTGCTACTCTTACAATCCTCACGATTCCTTTATATCACTCTCACACACTGTCCTGTACCGCAGGTCCTGGTGAATGTGGTAGATGTGAACGATAACGCACCCATCTTCCCGAGTTCATTCGAAGGTCCGTTTGATATCCCAGAGGGTCAGCCGGGCCCACGTGTCTGGACCGTTAGAGCCACGGATGCCGACTCTGGGTCCAATGGAAAAGTGGAGTACAGCATCACCGCAGGGGACCTGAAAAGTGTGTGTGATGGACAGCTGATTCAGATCCAATCAGAAAAAGTATTAGTGTTGATATTTCTTGTGTTTTTTGTCTGCAGTAAAAATGTTTTTATTCCTTTCTTTCTGTCTCTCCTTATCCCAGATGAGTTTGTAGTTTCTTCAGTTGAGGGAGAGTTGAGAGTGAGGAGAGATGTAGAGCTGGACAGAGAAACTATCGCCTATTACAACATCACCATTACTGCCAAAGATCTGGGAACGCCAGCGCTCAGCGCTACGGTACGCACCCACACACACATCTGTTTATATTCTTCTACTACGCACAAAAATATGAACTTATGGTAAAGGACATACTTTTGATTATTTGGAAAGGCAATATGCCTATTGGGACACAATAAATCGTCTTGACACCACAAACTACTTTGCATTTGTGTTTGTAGTTCATCAAACTAAATTCATTATTACTTTAGTTTGATCTTCATCATTTAAAAACGGCGTCTTTGGCCATTAAGGCTGAATGATTGATCTAAATCAAACTAAAATCGCAATTAGTGCAATAATCAAAACTCAAAAGCTATGATGCGTGTTTTAGAGTTAATCACAGCTCTGAAGTTAGATTGTTTAATGTTTAAAAGTTGATAAATTAAAACTGTTTGTGCTGTAAAATAAAATAATTGATTATATTATTTTTATAAATACTTTTTATATTAATATTAATAATTATATTTCTGTTTTTATATTTTTAATAATTATTATTTTATAGTCATATTGACATATAATCACAAACTTCTTGGCCAAATAGTGCATCCCTACAAACGATCACAGCAAACCTGGAGCTTTTAACACTATCACAGTTTTTATCAGAAAAATCACAATTTGATTTTTTCCCTGAAATTGTGCCATCTGCTATTTTCTTTTCCATTCTTCACCATAGTTAAAAACATTGAAAGGAAATCCTCATCTGTTGGCAATATTAGTCCAAAGTAGGCAATGTTACATAATATTACTTATTACATATTACATAACGCATGCACAGATACACAAAATCAACAGGAAAATTCTAATCTTGCATCATTTTTAGTATGGTTTATATTTGAATTAGTAAGCAGTGAATCGCTTACACATTTCCCATAAGTCATGTGGTGGTTTTGTTTTTCTGTATCAGGTGACAGTGGGCATTCAGGTGTTGGACATTAATGATAACGACCCCGTCCTGCTCAACTTACCGTATAACACCAGCGTGAGCGAGGGAGCAGCGATTTACACCTCCATCACTCAAGTGCGGGCGCAAGACTCTGACAACGGCCGCAACGCTCTCCTCACATACAGCATCACTGCCGGCAACACTGATGGAGCGTTCTACATTAATGAGACGGTAAGAGACAGAGGGATACGGGACAAAAACAGCCTAGGGAAAGAATAAGACAAGGAAATAGTAATGTAATAGTGAACACTGAAAATGTGTTCTCTCCTCCAGTCAGGTGTGCTTCAGGTGAACAGGCCACTGGATAGAGAGAGAGTGGCTGAATACAGACTCACCATCACCGTCAAAGACAACCCAGACAACCCTCGCATCGCACGCAGGGTAAATAACATGACACAACACAGCATGTCCGGCTAAATATATGTTTCACAGACTGTGTGAATATCACGATCAGGTGAACACTGCAATGAGATTTTTCACTCTGCTCAGGACTCCGATTTGTTGGTAGTTGCCGTGCTGGATGTGAATGACAACAGGCCCATCTTCACCCAGACCAGCTACAGGGGCGAAATCAGTGAAAACTCACTCAACGGTACCAAATGTTCTCGCTAACCACCATTATTAGGGTGTGTTCACATTGGCATTTTAACATCAAACCTAAAGATACCGAAACTAGGTTATGGTTAATATGTTCACAACCTGATTGGTCGGCTTTTTTTACGTATATTTCGATGGAACTTACCGAACATCCAAAACAATGCTGTGTGCTGGGATAAATGTGCTCGTTGTATGTGCCCACCTACATATTTGACCAGCTGAGAACTCGTGAAGAGATTATAAAATGTCAAAAACAGCGGCAGGAGACGTGGTTCTGACGCCTGTACCGAACTGTATTTCGGCAACATCATGACTATGATGAGAAAAAACAGGTATGCTTGAGCATTCTGCCCTTTTTAAGGTCTCATCTTGTGACATCTTGTCCCATTTTTGGTTGGTTTACATGTCTTTGGTCCGTGCTGCGTTCATATTTCATTCGAACCGCACCAGAGTCCGTTTGGAAGTGGACCGAGACTCATCTTTCAGTGGTTTCGGTCCGCTTGTTTGGTGCACACCAGGGTTCAGATGGCAGCGTTCACACTTATTCAAATGAACCGCACTAACACAGCAATCGCACCAGGGTTCGTTTAAATGCCAAGTGTGAACACACTCTAACCGTACGTTCACACCGCCGCCGGCGAGAGCGGCAAAATTCGCTCTCGCTGCCCTGTCAGCGACGCCGTGGAAAGATTCGTGGACGCTCTGATGCTCTGACGTAGATCGAATGCTTGGTCTTTTTTTAAAACTTTATTTAAAGGGGCCGCGAAGCAAACAAGCATGTCGATCGTTATGTTTGCAGAAAATGTATCGATGGAAAGAACTTAATTATAGTGACATGTTTGCTAACGAAATAAACAAATTAAAAGCCATTTGTTTGGTGTGGCTTTTGTGTTCATGGTTAAATGCTATTCTAATTTGCATTCCCGCTGAAAAACAAGCGTTCTAGCACCAATATCTTGCCTATAAATAGTGTTGCGCGCCTTCTTATGAAATTCAAATGATCAACCTCTCCTCTATTTTGCTTGGGAACTAATGTGGTCGGAACCTTTGTTACTTGACTGCGTTCTCTGGAATCCTCTCAAACGGAGCACATCTACATTCCGATTGGTTGCCGCCGAACCGCGTCATAGCTCATTTCC